GAACGACATTGAGCATAATAGCATAACGCACCAGAAATGATTCAGATAGACCAATGCTTCTTAAAGCCTTTAATCTTCGCCTGGGCGACTAACAAGCCTGTCTTGTACCCACGATCTGTGCTGGCTGGCACAGAGCTCTGTGGGGCTAAGCCCTGCTTTGCTCTACCTCGTAGAGAAGCAACAGAACTCAGTTCTACCCCAGTAGGGCACCCCATGCCTACTGGGTGTCGATGTTTCCCCGTGCCGTACCAGGTTTCTGGTTGGGGCTGGAATTGCGACCTATAGGGTTCAGTCTCTGCTTACGCAGAGGACAAGTGGGACGTAGATGTTTGGTGCTTCCGCACGTGTAACAACGTTTCACTTCATGTCGTTGCTTGGCAACATGAAGCTCAGCTTCAATTCATAGTCAGCATTGCTAAGATCCACCGGTTCTGGATTACAGTAAGTCGAGGTGATTACAGAAGTCGCCCTCGCAAAGCTTGGAATTTATTCATTCCATATAGTCTGGACGACTTGAAGTTGTGCTCAGAATTCTGAGCGATGCTCACTACCTATTCATAAGTCAAGGGATGGAATCGAAACACCTCGGTCCTGGCAACGCCTTTACGAAGACCTTCCATGAAGACATTCACAAAGGCTTTCTCAGGGAGAGAGTCGGACTGAATAGCAGCCATAAGAGTTCTCAACTCTTGGACATAGTCCGTTAGCTCATTCTTACCCTGACGGGTAGACAAGAAGCGTGAGCGCACGCAATAAGCCTGGTTAGGCGGCGAATAAAAACTGCAAAAGGTCTAACTTGAGCGAATCCCATGTGGTAAACGCCAAGTCGACCGACGTGCCACACGTCAGATCCCACTCTCTAGCTCTTCCATCGAGCTTTGAGATGGCCAGCGAGACTCGCTGATGCTCGATTGAGAAAAGGCCAGATCTAATGGCGATCTTAATCTGACGGATCCAGAGAGTGAGTTATTCACGCTTTTCTCCGGAGAAATGTTACACGTCCACCCGAAGGGGACGAGTCTTAGCCTCTTCAGTTGGCATCGCCACGTAGCGTGTTGGCATAGCCGACGGTACTTGGTTCTGAACCTGCCCTAAAAGAGCCGTTTTATACTGCATGAAAAACTCGACACGCGCGTGGCGCACGTCGGGACCTTGCGCAGCGAGAAACTCAACATACTCTGGGCCTACGGCCGCTGTCGGCTTATCCAGCGCGACCTTGGGGCCTCGTTGAGGCGTGTGGATTGCTCCATCCTCACAGAGGATCAGTCGTTACCGACTCAGGTGTAGATTGACTACGAGTGCTACCAAGTGTAGCGGAGCTACAAAGCTCCTTAGGTCAGAGGAAGACTTAACGCTCTTACGAGCAACTTAGGTTTAAGAACTCGACTCAAAGAGTCAACAGCTCCGAGAGCTAAGGTTTGGTTCAAAGAACCCGACTCAAAGAGTCAACAATCTCAAAGAGCTTACGGTCCCTATTCCAGGGGGACTTAACGATTCAAAGAATTAAACGCACTAAGTGCACAAGGAGTAGCTGCCTTAACAAGGCGTTGCTACTTCCTTACTATCGCAAGACGCCCCAGAGAGGCACGTGTCTTTTGTTGATCACAATGGAAACTGAATTTTTATTTCTTCTTTTAACCAAAAAGAACACCATAGAGCAAAGTAAATAATCTACTCACTTATGTCATAAATAAACATATTAAAAGATCTCGTAATCAATGGTTGACAGACATCAGTCTTCAACAATTGATACTTGTGTTCTAAAATTACTTTAAAGGGGATCCCATCCTTTGTGTGTACCAAACATATTGTCGACTACCAGTCGACGTGTAACCCTGTTTCACATGGTCTACTTTTGTAGCCTGATGCTGTAACAGGGCACGCTTCTAACTAGATAACTGGTAAGCTTTTGTGTTAATGTAGCACAAGGCTACGTTTTACCGACTTTACGTACACGTGGCGAGGAAGAGCAACCGAAGTAAACAGAACTTGAAAAGCTTTGTCTGAGGAAAAAGTAGAACTGTATTTAAAATGGTCGTTTTACTTTTAATAAACAATCTTTGTCTTGATTCAGCCATATTAAACTACAATCTTCTATGAGAATTTCTTGCTCGCCACCCATTGCGCGCGTTCAGCAGCGATTGGTGGTTCATCTGGTTGATGTACCGTGTTCATCAACCATTTAAGTGGATCATCCAAAGAATATAACACTCGAGGATAACATTCCGTCAACATCAACATCATCTCGTCTCGAGTGATGTTGATTGAATATTATCGAATTAAATAATAAAATTTTAAGTTACGGGCCCATCTTATTTTAAGCCATGACGACGCTTTATTGGGAAATCATATGCACGCTGCTGCAGTAGCGATCATGATACTGTTGCTGTACGCTTACTTGTCAAAGACACACTAATGTCGTGTTGTAAAATAGGTGACGATTTAACCGGCAAAGATTCCAGTCATCCGGATGTTGACCTGTCGAGCCGAAAATTGGTCCGGCTTTGGAAGAAGCGAATCGAATTCAATTTTGCTTGGCATCATGCCCTGGTATCCATGCTGCAATAAGCAGAAAGCGAGTAGTTTAGATTGTTTACAACGATATGCACTTATAACGCAGCTTGTAGCTATACGGACAACGCTATCTAGTAATACGTTGGCTTTTTACTATTCAATTCATGCCAGGCATTTGCGTCAACCCCATGACGACAATATCATTATTCGTTTGTACGTAAGCACCAAACTACAAACAACCCTACCGCATTTGCAGAGGACGTTTATTCTTGTGTTTTACAAGTCACCGGAACGTGAATGCATCTGTTAGTAAGTGCTACGTTCATCGTTCCTTTCGCCTCGCCATGCACGTAACCTGCTTTATTTTTGGGAACTGCCTGGAGAGCATTCTTCCTATTTGAATAGACAAACAGCTCCAAGAGTTCGTTTGATTGTATTGAAGAAATGTACTGGTAATTACGGAAGCTCCATTTGCGATGGCGGCATTCAAATACACGTCATCTGTTGATATCAACGTCACTCTTACGTATTGCTGCATTCACATCAACAAGCACTTATCGAGCCCAGCAAGCTCCGATACAAAGACAGGATCGAGGGCTCAATATCTTTGATGTCTCATACAGCACATAACTTTCGGACTAAGAGCTTGCTGTGTGAACTACGTATATGCTGTACGACGTGACAGGCAATTCCTTGCACCGAACAGCAACGTATTGTTTTTGATTCGAATTGACCTCATCACAGATAATATCCTTACCTCACTTAACCACGCATATCCCTCGATTGTCCGCATAGTAAGGTTGGTGACACTGACACTTGTGATGCTGGTCGTTTGCGTATGTCGACGAGCGATTGTTGTATAATGACCATCCCGAAGCCCCAGCTTGTCTGGACCATCACGGGCGTCGCTCACCGAGTCAAGCTGGTGTATTCACAACTTTTCTGACTGTCGGAATGATCCGTCCATGCTGATTATAAGAAAGGGAGGTTAGTTGACGTGGGTGGGATTCGAAGTAGCGCGTACAGCAGAAGTTGTTAATATGCTATCCGCAGACCAATTGCATGTATGCATGTGCTGATAGATCAGTATAGATAGATTTGCAGCACTTCACAGCAGCTATATCTTCTGACTGTGATGCGCTATGCGCTTTGACTGCGACGGGCTAGATGGTGTACACCGCACTGGCCTTCGCGCCACAACGACATCCAACCTACATCGGGATCTACGCATGAACGCAACAACTTATCGCGGCACCAATGTATCTCATGTACGACGCACAACAGTGACTTAGCGGATGATTGACAGAATAGTCATTCTTTGCCTTAAACTATTATCATGTCCCCAATACTCTGCCGAGCCATCATGATGGCTTGAGCGTCGAAAAGCATCAGTCATTAGCTCCTGCAAAAAACCATCACCAGTAGCATGGAGCCTGGCGAGGCTACATGACTCAAACACTGCCGGTGTGCCTGCCATCATCGCCCTTTCAACTGCCTTTTCTGATGGCAAGGTCAATGGCATGGTATTGAAGCTCGATACAAAAAGTCGACAATATATTACGGTGCGATTCCGGCACGGAGAATCGGGCTTGAAACCTTTGACCATCGCCCACCGCTTCAGGCAATGTGTGATCCGGAAGTCGCATGATGCCCTGTATAGGATCTGCAACCCACCATAATATAGAGGAAGGCACAGCGTCGCAAGCCATCGTTGTTGAAGAAGAACTTTGGATCAGATACTCGTCATCAGATTCGGCAGAGAGGCGTTTTCCCGCATTCCGGCCACTGAGTGGAGCGGATGGATCAAGCGCTACAAGATCGCCGGTTAGCAGGTGGCGAATGGGCCATATTACGACGACTCTGCAGCAGGCGCAAGATATGATTGGAGCGCGTAGATTTTGCCTAATGACCGAGAAGGGGATTCACAGCGCCTTTACATCAGTGTGAATAGGACATTTGAATAGGTTTCCGAGCACAAATGTCGTGAGACCAGTCTCAGATTTGTCCGACAGCACCTTACGGAGGTGTACCGGCTTTTCGCTTGTTCTGGTGCGTAGCGGGACCTGAATCTCGCGCATATTAGATAGATGTTCACATGCCGTATCAACGGCCAACGCGAGTTCGCCGCAAGCTTCTCGAGTCGAGCAATCTTCTGCACACTGTTTGGTCCGATTGTAAATAAGAGGTGCATCGATGTCGGTGCTTGTTTGGAGCACTGACACCTATGAAATTTGAGCACATAGATAGTATTTGCATCTTCAGCTTATCCATCTCGATGGAACGTCAAGTTGCCAAATCAATAGGCCATGTCCCGTCTTCGTCGCCGTAGCCGTAGCCGGTCCGCGAGACCCTCAGAGTTGGACCTTTCGACACGCTGGACAAATCTGGTCGGGGAGCATTCCACTCGGCTCCTGGTACCTCATTTTGAATAGGTCGGTCCGCACGACCAAGTGCGCTTCTCCTACTGGACTGGAGCAACCCGGAGTATGCGGCTGGCGTACGTCACAGTGGCTGTGCTAGCGAACCTTTTAGCTCGTGGTGATGCGATCTCACCTGTTGACGATCCGAAGGCTGTTCTTGGGCTCGATATCGCTCCAGTGGATCTCGTGGTGGACGGCCACGCCGACGGAGTCAACACGGAGAGACGTTGGCAGGACGTTCGTGAGCACAACGACTCAAACGCGGTACAAGTGGGCAATGAGGAGAGATTCTTTGGCATCGCTGACAAAGTAAAGCTGCTATCTTCAAAGGTGCGGCAAAGTGTAATTGTGGGGAAGGACGCGGGCTTAGCGGTGACAGCTGCGAGTACAGCTAAAGCGCAAACTACTGAGCTCGCTGTACGACTTAAGTCAACCACTGATATGTCTCGTATAGAGGTAGCACGGCGTTGGAACCAGATGCGCAACACACCAACCTCTCAAATGACCAAGATCAACCTCACGGGTCTTTTAAAGACGGTCACCGACGCGCTAACGGTCGCTACATATAAGAGCAAGCTGTCGCTTAATGCGATTGCATCAAAGTACAGAGCGGTCATGGATGAGCTTCCGGACAACTTAGCTTTTGTTTGGAATATGCTGGCTACTCATCCGGTTGTCGCGGATATCGGTGCGAAGCTTCAGGAGCTGGTGGCTGACCTGATTATGACAGCTACGATATTCATGATTAAAGTGCAACTCAAAAAATACTCATCGAAGATGGAGGCGACCATAATCCGATTCTTCAACAAGTTTTCACCGCAGGGAAAACAGGTTTCTATCCACGCAGAAGAAAAGACCAAGCGTACGAGGTTTGCAGAGAAAGTTACAAACGCGATGCTTCATCTCGTAGTCAAGGTAATAAAAGTGGTGCTTAAGAAGCACAAAGTAAAGTACGAGTCGACGGCTGATTATCACCTGGGTAGCTTGGTATCGCATCGGAAGATAAAGGCGGTCGGCTGGACCTCTGATCCCACAACTAAACTTTCGGAACTTGCTGAAACAATTACAAACTCGATCATGACAGCCCTGATGTCAAAATATAAAAGGCTCATTTGGAATTGGGCATCAAGTTTCGTGGTGAACACCTTGAATATTTTCCACACGTCAGGACCAAATCGAATGAAGAGTACCATTCCTTTTGTGAGGAAAATCAAATCGACAATCTTAAAGTTGCTGAGGAAGCTCACCGGCGCGATGACGAAAGTTGCGGTGTCGATCATCAAAGGACTAAATGAGCTGATCGAAGGCGATAAGTGACCGATGACAAGTTTGTAAAGACAACAATATTGCATATAATCAAGCTGGCTGTATAATTCTATCGTTTTTAAAGCCAAGAATATGAGTACGCAGTTTGCACGAACGACGAATACGAAATCTGGCGAGGCACGGGATGATTCGGCAATACAATATATAGACGAAGAGGTGGCTTCAGTATAAACGATTCATAATTATATGATTGGATATTGCTGCGTTTCACAATCGTACCCAAATACTGTAAAGCATCTCAGTGACGATGCTCACCAATTTGTTTGAAAAACGAATGCACACTTAACTTATTGCTACTGCTAACCGTACACATTCTGCACCTTCTGACGCGTAAGCGCGATCGATCTAATCAGTCTTGTCATCAATACACTGGCGCAGCAATGTTAGCGGAAGTTTTTAGTCAGAACACGCGCTTTCGTTGGTGCGGTAAGCACTTCGCACAGTGACAACTTCGGTTTGTTCGAATGGATGTATCGTGTCCTGAAAAAGCACGAGCTCTAGTGAAAAAGACACGTCCAACCAGACAGTTAATGATCGTGTTGGCCGTAACCTAGAGTAACCGGCACCTTATCATTAAGATCTAGGATAATAGTACCTGCTGTAAGTCGTCGAAGTATTTGACGTATCCACAACGCTAGCTGCATGATGCACCAAAGATATGTTTTTGACATCGCCTTCGCTTAAGACTTTTAGAGAGCAATACTTTTATAGTCCAACATAAAGGTGCAAAGAAGTCATTATTACACGTGCCAAGAAGTTCATCGGTTTGGAATTTTGTAGAAGTCCGCACAAGACATCGAACAACTACTCGAAGAACTAGGTACTGTTCCGTCAGGATAGCGTGCGATATTGTGTATGAGTCTCGATTCTAATAGCGCGTAAAGCACACTCCTTCGAAATTGTTGACGTTAGGCCTCGCGAAAGCAAGTGAAAAAAATTAGAGATGTTGAAAGTCGATATAGCACGTTTGAGGTCGGTCGAATGACAATGTTTAAACAATCCAAACGCAAAGGTGAGTGCGCTGAAGTTAATTGACGATTGACAACAGTGGCGAGAAATTAAATATCATTTTAATGTACATATTGACGATTCTCCCAGTGTCATCGGCAACGGCTGAGAAAACTAAGGACAAAACTGTGCCAATGGTTTAAGACCTCTCAATAAGTTAGTGTGTAAATGTATCTAGATGACTTATAACTATTACATTAAAAGCTGTACGCAGTTGTTTATTACCGAATTCTTACACTTGACTTTCGGCGCGATGAATGCATTGAGGAGAAGACAAGCTCCGTCACTGACAGAGGTAGAGGTACTCAAATATACCTATTTTTTACTTAGAGGGTGCCAGCCTGTACGCTACCAAAATTATATGGTAAGGCAAACGGAAAATACTTGGCGGAATCTAGCGAAAAACACCACACAACCCATTAAAAGGCATTCTCTGTACCCGAACGACACCTATGTTGGGATGTGAAACAGAATGCAATCTCGGATATAAATTTTCCTGTAATTTGATAACTTCCACCAATAGGTCTGTTCTCGAAATCCCCCATTTAGACCAATCGGTTTTGCCTTGAGGTGTCAATGATCGCTTATACAGCAATATTATCGATGGCCATCAGGTATATAAATGAAAAGCTAGGTCGCTTTCGTTGGTAATGGATTGCTAAAGCGCTAAAATTGAACAATGCGTACTAGAAATAGCATCATTTCAGAACAGTACCCTACAGTGTTGCTTTAACTACGCTAAGGTCCATAGAAACAAGAAAATTGAGAAACTTTGGTCTGTTAAACGCTTGATCTCTACGTAGAAAAGGTGTTAGCTTGGCCTCGGCAGACATAATGTGTTGATTATAGTCATTGATGCCAATTCAAGTATTTATGTCTAATACCTTCTTTTAAGCATGACTTGAGCTACAAAGATGCAATTACACAAACAATGCAGCACGTTTTTCGTATGAAGTAGGGCCCCGATTTACTTGGCGGAATAAAAATGTACACTTCAAATTGGTTTGCTATATACTATCTAAGAAATTATTCATATATATATATTTGTAAAAATTGTTTAGGAATTTGAAGTATTCTGATTCGATTTTTCCATTAAAAATTTCTTTTTAGCCTTTTTTGTTTTACTAATTTACTGTATCGGCCAAAGTATGATTGCCATCTAGTCTGATGTGAGGTCGAAATATAATACGATACACAATAATCACGAAGCAAAGCTCTATATACACATATTTAGGATCGATATAATCATACAAACTGTATTCAGGCATTCTTGACCTTTCGTACACCAACTAGCAGGAAAAGAAATGTATTAATAAGACCAAGATGATCATAAATAAATCCAAAAAAATTACGTCATAAATGTTATATAAGCTAAAATAATTTATGTAAGTATTTTTAATGAACACTTGTTACAATCTACACAAGTCATAAAATAGGATAGCCGGTAACTTCTTCCATTCATCGTTACTTAAAAGATTCATTTATGAAATGTGATGCTCTACCAAACATTCATATTATGAATCTTTTCACCCTCATTTTTTGTAATTAACGTTTTTATTTAATAACACTGATACGTCTAGATATCGGTGTTGTGTAACGGACTAACACATGTAAAGACTTCTTACTTGTAGCATTTAAGTGAAATTACTGGTTGAATGAGACTCGTTCGATCACATATACATAGTTTAGGCATTTAGTCCCAAATTGAACATCACTTTTTCATAATATCATTGTTGATTGGATCCTTTGCACGAGGAAACAACACATAATGCAGATGTTCGCGTGGAAGCAGACCAAAAAAATGATTACAACTTCGCCAAAGAATTTTGTCATTACATGAATGTAAACTAATTTTGCAGCGTCCACAGCTACAAATGCACCCAATCAAGGACCACTTATAGATGGTAGCTCGCGATTAGATCGCAACAAATTTGGTAAGTCAATTCAAACAAAAAACGCAAGATAGAATATATTTTGGTATATAATATACTTATATCCGTGAATTCGAATTCGAGAGATATGATACGATGAATTTTGGGTACGCGTGCGACCCACTGTAACACGGTTTGGAGCCTCAATATAGCGATGTGTAATTCTACCGCTGCTGCGCGGGGATCGATTTACGTAACCCCGGTCTGTGTGCCAGTGCATGTCCACTCATCCACCGAAACCAATACTGCATTCTTTTTATAGTAAGAGCCAATATATCAGGTCAGCTGCTGATATAAGACGGCGCGTCGATAAATGAAAATTTATGCACGAGCAAAAGAGAGTCACAGTTCGAAAACTTTAGTTTTATTTAATACGGAAGACGCAATATTGGAGCGTCACGTCTCTCAATGTTCAGCCCAATCTTATGATGACTATGAATGTCGAACAATGGGATTGACTTGACCGATACAAAAATCGTCAAAAGGATATCAGCTTCTGTATCAAAATTCGAATTTATTGGTCTCTTTGACTGTTGGCTGAAATCTTGTAAACGACATGCACAATACATTTTTATTATATGGTGGTATATTGCAGTATTTTAAAAGACTTAATATACTAAACTTAAAAATATGAAATTGCTGATACAATTTGTCCCATCAACTGCGTTACGGTTTGCACAAGTTTATTTGATTGTTTTATCAGAATACTGCGAGAAACAGAATATAAGGCAACAAGAAACTAATTTCGATCTTAAAAAATCAATTAGTCAATATCATAGGAAGTGCGCCACTTTCGGATGTTGAAGGGCCGAACACATGTTTTATAGAATTGGTAAACGCGCTTTACACCGATATATAATTCGAAGATTAATTTGAAGTAAATGTACAGTGACTAAATAATAACGTTCACACACCTGGATCTAGTGATTTCCAGATCTACACTTAAGTGCAATCACAACGAAAATATAGTCCATATTTTGTGAAACAGATCAGGTACAAAAATATTTGGCTAAAATGTAAATATACGGTTGTACGTCGCGCTTAGGTGTGTCGATTAACCTAACAAGTATAAATATTTGGACGGCGGGTCCTGGTCCAAACATTTGCAATAAAGTGCTACATAATTTAGATTTTTTTTCAATTTCTTTGCACAATACGACCTATATAGAGGAATATTTTTTCTTACGATTTCCCTTTTTATAATAAATCGGTACATTTAAAAAAATAATCTTTAATTAATATATGCTTAAGTAGATCGACATACGTTGATGATTTTTTTCGAAAATTTTAGATAAGGGCTTCATACTGAATATATTAAACTCTATCTTTTTTTAAGACGGCTTTGTACGTAAAAACAAATTATCATTTACATTTGATTCATTACTGCAACAATACCTCTATAATATAACTTAATAAATCTTATCGTACTTTTTGATTTATTTTACCGTACAATTTGAAAAATCCATTTGCGGCAACCGCTCGAAGAAATATGTTAATTATTTAACAGTATACGATCAACTAAATTAGAATTTAGACGAAATTCTTGTTCTGCTCTTCTATCCGTATATAGTCAGAAATACACTGCACCTGAGATACCGAGGCATTGCGCTAGCAACCCCAATTTATAAAGTGCTGCATTTTTTAGTGTTATACCTCCTGTAGTACTAGATTTTCATATTACGAAAAATGTTGTGAATACATTTGAAAGATTCTAACCTATAATTAGCAATGACCTTCATCACGTGTTGAACAGATATGTAATATGATAACTTTTAGTGGAAGAACTTCCTTATGTGCTTTATAATGGCAAAACTGTCGCTTTCTTCTAAATTTTACCACGATTGTAGCCCGCTGTTACAGTTTTAGCAACTTTTTCGGACACCATTCGCTTGAAGTTGTATTATATTACGAATATAAATCGTAAAGTTTATTAAAATGAAGTTTAATTTTGCGGCAGACGTAGCCGATGTATGCGTATAAATAAGCACGCTCGCCAAAGCATCCCTAAAAGCAGCATTCTTTAACCACGACTGATCAATTTCTAACCTCTTC